AAAAACTCAACCCAATCCACAAGGCACACTGTTGAAGACTGACAGTGGGAGATTTTAGGCACTTATGGGACAAACAGTCAAAAGATAGCAACAGGAATGATAAATCAGTAAAAGCAAATGAAAAAGTAAAACAGCTCTCAATTACTTATATACACATAGTTAAATGCACATGTATGCACACATTTAAGCACAAATAGAAAATGTGCATGAGTATAGAAAAATGTTAAGTTAAAAATAAAGTATGCAGTCTTCTAGAGTAGAAGCAAGATATAGGTTTCCCCTCCACCTCCCAGAAACAAATAGAAATCCACTAGAAGACAATCATGATTGTGATGTTTAGGTAGAGAATGAAACTCCTTTAAAAGTCAGTTGAGGATTTGTTTTTAAACCACTGTTACCCTCTACTAGTTAAACAGGAGGTAAACGCTAATATATGGAAAGCCCTATATATACACACGTCATGAAATCCCCTCTCGCTGGTCTATGGAAAGGTTCAAGGCACAGGTTAATGCGGTGAAAGCAGTATGTGAACATTACACTACCAAGCTGCATGTACCCATTTACAAGTACTGCTACATACCGTTAAGTCTGAGGTTGTAGAAATGAAGTTATATTGGTTAAAGGAGAAAGTAGCAACGTATTTGTGATATAATGCAGATAAGGGGGCAAATGGTGACTACAAATGCCCAGAGTAAAAATCTGTGGGGTTTGGTCATGGTTTTCGCTTTTTTACTTTTTCCCCTTCCAAAGAGTTAATCTAACTTTTTTATTTGTACCATTTCCAGTATCATGTTTCATTTAGTTATATTCAATGCCTTTTCCATGGAACAGTTCATTTCCTTGATTTAAATACGAATCATATCTTAAAGTACAATTTATGAATTGAAGTATAGCAAGTTGCACATACATTAAACTCCTAAAAATAAATTTACAAGCTTTTTAAACAAAAGCATTACCTTTAGAGCTTCTGTAGCCTTGCGCAGTTCTTTAATAACAGATGATAGTGCTTCTGGATTTATCCCTTGTTCACAAAGCCGCACACAAATAGACAATGTCTCCATATCCAAGCCAGTGTTTAATATTCTTGAAATCTCAAAGAGAACTGCAACAGAAAAAATGAAGGCACTTTGGTCTCTACAGACTATGAAATTTCAATTACCAAAATCATTATTCATCAACATTTAAGTTTTACAGTAGAGTGTGAACATGGCAGCTGTCCATTGCAGTCTGAACTTCAACAACAGCATTCATGTTCAGCTTTCCAGTATAAGTTAAAAGCTACGGCTTCCAACATAAACACCAGGCTTTTCTGGTTCAGGAAACTTAATACTGGATAATGGGTTTTGAAAAAAAAAGTAAAAAAATAAGTGAAGAATTCAACAATTAACATGCTTACCAATTATGTAAAAGGTAGGCTGTAAAAACACTGTGCTTCTGAACTTCAGATACTGATGATGCCCTACTGAAATGGACCAGGAAGCACATTGCTAAAGCTTTTACAGAGAATGTCAGCAGTTTTCTAGTCACCTTCTCCCACAACTAAATCTGACTTTAGGTCTAACATTAACACAATGATAAGCAATACTATTCAATTTTATGTGTCCTGAATCAAGAGTAGCACCACATGTCAGTAAGAGACCCTCTGGAGAAAGAGATTCCAGTCACATCTCTCTCATTCCTTTGGAAGGCCCCTTTGCTTTGATTCTCATAAACAGTTTGTCAAAGGTGCAACAGAACAACTCACTGAGATTTTGTTTCTGGTTTCTACAGTAAGCTCATCCTGAAGCTAAGCCCCAGTATAGATTGATTTTGTACAGGTGTTACTCACACAGTTTCTGTAACCAAACCTCCCCCAAGCTAGGGAAAAGTGGAGTACTAGGTCTTTCTCACCACATAAAAGCATCATGGCAAATGACTACTGTCCACTTGACAACTATGAAAATATTCCTTGGTATACCACTGACATCCTGCAGCACACTCTGGTAAGTCACACTTACTCGAGACAACCTAATGTATCCAGTCAGTTCATTGAAGTCACAGGAAAAAAATCCATAGGTGTGAAAATATTCTTGAAGCCCACACAAGTACGTTGGATTAAGAATACGAATAAGTTTAAGACATGAAAGCAGTCTGTCAGTCCATAGTCCTATCTACAAGCCAGGAGGAAAGCTTCCATCCTTCTCCACCTCAAGACATTCTGTTCCTGCTGGCTTTAAAGTAAACCATTCCAAACACATTATACATGCACACCCAGTCCATACAAAAGCATCTTCAACTAACAAACTGATGCAGTTGCAATAAAATTACATTGAATGTTTAAGAGCTATAGAACTAAGAAGAACTAAAAACTTCCCAGAAAGAAACAACTATTACTTTTTTTAACCATTTAAAATCTATCAAAAATTTTACTAAGCATGTGACATATTTGAAGGCAGAGCAGTAATCTAACTGAAGATAAGTTCCAATTTTCTACATCAGCAAGAGCTGTGGTCACTAGTCGGAGCTGTGCCTTTGGTAGAGAGATGTAGCAGTCTTTCCACAATTCCGAGCTCTTAACTCTGAAGAGAACAACTGTTAAATATCTGTGTCTATCCTAGACATAATATATACATTTTTACATGGAGAGCCTGAGCTCCTAAATCGGAAGATCAGTGTACTTTCCATATCTGTTCTTAAAAGCCTTTTTTTTGTCTTTAAATCCACATATCATCCCTCCTGCCCAAAATGTTCCTGCACAAATAGAGAGAAAAGTTGTCAAATATAGTTATCAGAACTTCAGACTGTCGGTCCTACACAAACAAACCTCTCTCCATCTGCACAAATTAGTCTTAACCTCTTGCAGCATCAGAGGAGCCATAACTCTGCTAGTCCTGCTTTGCCTCCAGCAGCAGGTCAGAGAGCGAAAATCAGTGGCTGAAATGCTATTTTTTACACCAGCTGGACTGGTGAAAGTCTTTGCTAAGAAACCCTTATTATAGTATTCATAAATTCAAGAGAAGGGAAGATGCTGAGAAAATGGCAAACGCAAAGCAATATCCCCCAAATGTTCTCCCCAGCCTTTACTCTCTTGTTAGGGCATTTCCAGAGAAAGTCTTTACATTTAACAACCCTCAGAGGATTTCTTGGCAGCTTTCCACTTTGCATATAAGGCTTTGTCATAGGCACTTCATAGAACTCCAGAGTTTCGCACTACACTAAGAAACAACTCCAGGATGTACCAGCTTTGATTCCTCATAGTCAGGCCAGAAGAGTAAGTGAACACCTGACCTTTACTCAGCTGCTCACATTTCTTGGCTTACAAATCTCCAAAATACTTTCCAGCACTTCTGGTGCCACTACTCTCACATTCCCCATCCCATAACAGTTTTAGGTTTGAGGGTTTTTTTTTTTGCATCAAAACCTATTCTAATTCCGTAACATTGACTACTGTTCTCGAAGCTTTTTCACTATATTGTTTGGTTTGGTTTGTTTGTTTTTTTAATTTAGTTTACTTCTGTTTTCTGACTTGAACCCCCTAGGAGAACAAGAGCTCCCATCAGTTCGGGTACTGGCAGTGACACAGGGCTGGTCCCGCCTTTCCCTTCCACACACTCCGCTTCCCCCCCCGCCTTAAATCCAAGACGCACAGAGCCAGGCACAATCATTTGCGTTATCCGGTACAAACAACGAGAAAGCACAATATGTAAAAAAATACAAATATTCATAAACACTAAAACCCAACAGTATTCTCTATTAAGTACTTAGCTAACTAAAGATCCCCAAGAGAAGCCACTCGACGTCCAAAATTCACTCGCACTACGCAGGTGTTTAAAGCGTTTTCACTCACTATGAATAACACGAAGCAAAAAAAAAAAGACATCGCTACGCGCTACACCCTCCAGCAGCCCTAACCCGCACCCCTCTTCCCAGGAGAGGCGCCCCGGGGGCGTTCGCTTTCTCCTCCATCCTGACTAGGAGGAATCGAAGCCCCGGGGCTGTTTCTCAGCGTTGTTTCTTGGCCGCCGCCCCGTGCGCGTCCCCCTCCCGCAGCCGTGTCACGCACCGTCCATGGTCTCCCGCACGGCGTTCAGGCTGGCGGCGTTGCTCGCCATGGCGACCCTCACAGCCCTCCCCCGGAACCGGAACGCGCCCCGGCACCGGCCCCGGCCCCACGCGAGACCCCAGCGCAGCGGCACGGCCCTGGGGGGGCGGGCCTTCTTTCGAATTCGTGCCGCGGCGCCCCTGCCGATTGGCCCGTTCGAGAGAGAGGAAGCCCGGCCATTGGCTCGGCGGTAGAGGCCGCGTCGTGATTGGTCAGAGCGGGCGGAGGGGGCGGGGCTGTTTAAAGGGCCGCCCGGCGCGGCGGGGGCGGGAGCGGCGAGTGGGGCCCCATGAGCGGGCGGCGCGGCGGTGCTGGCAGCCCGGCGGTGCTGATAGCAGCCCGGTAACGGCGGCGGGGGGCTGTGCCCCGCACCTCGGCACCCGCGGCAGCAACACCCCCTCGGCGCCCGGGGACTCGGAGAGCGGCTCGGCGCGGTGGCACCGTCCCGGGGAGAAGAGTGAGAAGGGGCGAAGAGGGGGCTTCTCACGCGGGGCTCCCGTCCTGTTCGCCGCCGCGGGGGCTCGGAGGTGCCCTGCGGCGGGAGGGAGCGGTGCCGCAGCACTCTAGGGCCGGGGCAGGCCAGTTGGGGCGGGGAGGGAGTCGGTTTTAGCGCCCGGGCCAAGCGGGACCTGCTCGGGGCGTTACTGCTGCCCCAGCCCACGGGCAGCGCCGCGCCTCCTCCTTCCCTCCCCCGCGGGCAGGGGCTGCCGGGCTGCTCCGGTGTGGGGGGAGGAGGGCGGGCTGGCCGCCTGCAGCCCCCTCTCGCCACTCCGTCCCCCTCCGTGGTCGCAGCTCGGCGTGCGGGCACCGCGGGGCGGGGGGGCAGACCGTGCTGCCCGCGTCCTGGAACCTCTCCATATTCCCGAAGCCCTGAGTGCCAGCGCTTGGTGCGTGAGCTGCCCCCCCCAGGAACGCGTTTGGCTTCCTGACCGTTCCGTTTCTTCTGGTGGTTGTTAGTGGTTTGGTTTGGTTTGGTTTGGTTTTGTGGTTTTGTTGTTGTTGTTGTTTTTTTGTTTGTTTGTTTTTTGGGGTTTTTTTTTGGTTGCTTGTTCTTTTGGTATTTCGTTGTTTGGTCTTTTCTCAATTCCCTTTTTCATGCCCGTTCTTGTCTCGCTTTTTTAAGGTTCTGTTTATTTTTAATTGTTTATGCCAGCCTCGTTTATCGGCTTTATGGCAGTAGGTCCAAGCCAAAGCTCACTTCGTTTTTGTTAGTCCTTTAAACGCTTCTGGCGCCTTAAAACGATTGATCATCTCTTCCTAAAGTCTTCAGCATAACCCTAAAATGTCAAAACTATGATTTCATTATTTCCCTTAATTTTTCCTGTCTCTCTGTCTTTTTCAGGTATAGCTTAGTGTTATGGGTGATACAGAAGAAGCTAAAATGCAGATAGCACCAGAAACTCCAGGACGAGTTGCAGTCCTGAATCCTTTTGAAAGTCCCAGTGATTATTACACTCTTCAGGAGCAGATTGTGTCCAGTCCTTCGGTCTTTAAGTCAACAAATTCCTCATCAGTAAGTTCTAATCTTTAGTTGTGTAACTACATATATGGAGCGTTATATTTTCAAATGCGTTTAAAAGGGTATTTTATTTAGTGTACTTTAACATATATACTAAGGTAAAGAATTTTGGTAGCATTTGGAATTTCTTCTATTTACAGAAATATGCTGCTTTTAATACTAATGTTGTTGCTTAGTTTTCCTACCTTTCTAAATTTATCTAGTCCTTAGATATTAAGTGATTGAGTACTAAAAAAGCCCCAGTTCCTAAATAATAAAACTTAGTTGCATTTCTGCTATGAGCTGTTTGTGTATTCAAGTTAATGATTTTGTGTATATATAACTTTTAGTTGCAAATTACATTTTGGTTTGCAGTTGAAATTATTCTCTGGTAAGCCGTAGAGAAGGTACTATGCTAATGAAACTAAAAAGACTTACTTGGTAGATAGTTTTTCAAATTGATACTTGTTAATTGTAGGAAGACTGCTCTTTTATTGGATAACATGGTTTAGGTACAGAGACTGGGTGTTTATGGAACCACAGTTTGGATTGTGGCAATGTAGACACGACTAAATTTCATCTGAAGTTACATATCTTTATTAGATCTGTCCTCAGAAATTGAGAAGAAACTGACACCTCAGTTTGTAAATATTAGTTATAACTTCATTTAATATTATCATGTAAATCACTGTAACACCATTACCAGGGTAAGAAGCCTGACTGACTTAATAATTTTTTTGAAAAGTAGATCATTTAAATAGAAACTCTTTTGATTGTCAGAAACTATATGGAAGCAGTGATTGTGTTGTTCCACTGAGATTTGTCCTGTAGTTTTATTTTTATCCTTTTAGAATAACAAGCATTAAGATGCCTGTTTCTTTTTTTCAGACACCAGGAAAATTTAGGTGGTCTATTGATCAGCTTGCTCTAATAAATCCTGTGGAAATTGACTCAGAAGATGTTCGACGCCAAGCAATGTATTTGAGCCATGCTAGGTAACTTTGCAATCTGTTTTTATGCAGTTAATTTAGCATTAATACTGGAACACTGTTCTTTCGCTTTATTAACATGGCATGAAGCATCCCAGTAATAGGATAATAAACCAATTTCCATCCTGTCTAGATCAGGTCACTCAGATTAGGGAGCATCTAACTACTCTGCAAGCAACCTGTTCCAACACCCTCCTCCTAAAAAATATGGTGAAATAGACTTACTGTTCTTAGTGTCTGATTGAACCTACATCTCTCTTTTTTAGAGAGGAAGAACTGTAGAAGGAATATAAGTGTCCTCAGCTGTATCTGTGAATCACCATGTCTTAATGTCAATATTTTTTTTCCTTAATAGCCATTTGTTTCCTGGCCTTCCTCTAGCAACCAGTAGGTTTCAAACTCTAATTCTTCTTATATGTTATACAGCCTTAAGCCTTATGTTTTTTAGGGAGTTAATTGCACTGTTTCGGGAAGCCTATTTGGACACCCACAAACAAGCTTTAATCTAGATGGTTTAGGTGACAATTCCAATGATGATTAGTGACATGGCCCATAGATATAAATGTGTTGTCTCAGTGGGTCCCTTTAGTCTGTCCCACTGTTTCATGCCCATTGTGATTTTTTCTTTTTAAATTGTCTCCTGTGACTAGAAAGAGGCTGGTCTGACTATATGTAGATTTGCTTTGTCCTTGCTTGCATGTTTCAGTGTAGTACAGATGGAGGTTATTTCTGATGGCTGCAAACTGTACATGGTTAAATGCATATCTGTATACAAGTGTGTGTAGGATTTTGCATGGAAACTTAATTTAGATTTCATGAACACAGTTTTATGGAAACAAAAGTGTCATAAATACAGCTCTTGATGTTAAAAGTTTGTGATAAAAGAATTGAGTTTTTGAAGCCCACACATAATGTTACACGAGCTATGTACTCCTGTTGAAAGAGTTTATAATGCTTGTTAACAAGTAGTTTTCTGAATTAATTGCAAACACCCACAAGCATAGGTAATTCCATGTATAACTATTTCAAACTGTTAAATCTCTGTAATGTAGTAAAACAGTCTGAGGAGCAGCACAGTGTAAAAGCTTATAAGCACTTGGAAAAGTCTGAGTGTGTATCATATATAGACTTGATTTTGTGTAGTATTACTGTTTCCATAAACTGGGCATCATCTGTGTGCTGTGAGTTTATTAAACTGCTTGTAAGGTGTTTAGGAGAATGCTTTTCTGGCAGATTTTGTTAGTGAAAAATAGTCTGCCAATAATTGAGCAGACACATTGACACAGCCTTGTCCACAAACTTTCCTCTTCCTTTTTTATTTCTGCTGATAGATATTGAATGTTTCTAAATTGGATGCTATGCTATTATTTGTTAAATGTCTGCATCTTCTATACTGTGTGTCACAGCCGCAAGTGCTATGTTGCTTGAAGTTGCATACAAGACAGTCTTGGTTTTATTCTTGTTAAACATATATGACATTTTCACTTTGTTATTTTCCTGGAGTTATGTACTAAAGAAAAAAAGGTCCTCTTTTACACTAACCAGCACTTTTAATGGGAGCTGTTTTCCCAGTTCCTCTGCTTATTAGTTGTGATCCACTGTGCATAAATATACAATGATTGTATGCTTACTTTTTTTTGGTACAGTAACTGAATTTTGTGCAGGTGTCTTCATAGAACTGTCCCTTTAGCATCATCTAGGTGGACATACTTAAAGATGGCATGTCCAAGCATTGTAGATATGTTGAAAGTGTGATAAGCATGAAAGAAAGAGCTGTGAAAGAGAATTTATCTATCAGGCACATCTGTGTGTGTGTTTGTTAGCTAATAATGTTGTGTTGTCTGACTGATTTCTAAAATTATTGAAGGTTAACTCAAGTATACTAACTGTACATGAAACCATTGTGTGATTCAGCTAAGACAATGATGAACATTTGTAAGCTTCAAAAAATTTTACAATAAATTTCATGGTAGTAACTGAGTGAGACTTGAAGGTGACCCTTAGAGGAAATACAGAGTCTCACACATCATGGCTAAAGTAACTACAATATCTTTTAAAAGCTAGGTTAAAAGCTGCATAAGAGAATATGTTCATTGTCAGAAACTGAAATATGACATTGTATTCTAAATGGAAAAAAATATGGCAGACTCTCTATTTGGCAGAGAGAACTCTGTGCTGGGAAAGTGGGCTGTGTCAGGAACTGAGTTTGCAAATTCCAGGAGTGTCTTCAGCTGCCCTTCAATTCCTTGTATCCTGTTTTTTTATTCTGGCTGGTTTTACAGTGTAAGATTAATCTCATGGTAACTAATAGTAAAATCTGTTCATATGACATTATTTTGGAAGATCAGTTGTGACTGAGTTTTTGTCCAGACTTGCTGATACAAGGAGTAAATAGGTGACTTGCAAATCTGTACTTACAAATGGTACAGATCATTTTCAAATGAATGGAGCTGTGAATTGCATTTGTATTTCTAAATTTATAGTATAAAATTATTGCACATAACAGTAAAAACATCTTACAATTTAGGGTATAGTGCAATTGCATTTATAAAGTTCCTCTTGAGCATCTATAAATTATTACATGGTTGGACTTTACATTTTTTCCTACATGATGATTTTGATAATTGAGTTGTTTTTCATTTGTTACTTAGAATTGATAAGGAGACAGAAGACAGAAGGCAAAAAGCTATTGAGGAGGTAATAAAATTTTGTGCTATCAAATATTGATTTGTTTTTCGTCTACAAAAATGATCCAGGTCTATTATAGGATTTCAAACCTCAAAAGCCTGTTATGTTTCAGTAATAAAGTAATTTTGCATCCTCATCCATTGTAGTTGGAATCCACATGTTCTTTTTCTTCCCATCTTTTTTCACAAACCTGTAGGTCAAAACAACAGATTTTTTTTCTTTCGTGTAGGTTGGCTAGTGGTAATGTAGCTGTAACCTAACTTAAAAATAGTTCAGCTTCAGGTTAAAAATAACAATTAAGCATTTGGGGGTTTACAGTAGCTGTTAGTGGTTTATTGCATTTTTTAAAATATTGCAGAATTTTTGTGATTTCTTTTGTTCCTTCCAAAGTCTGCTTAGTTAGATGTACTACTTTATTGTGGTAGCTTGTATATATTTCCATCCATTTTTCATTTTAGTTTTTACTATCCATTTGTATAGCAGAGAAGGAAAAGTGTTTCAAATGTTCACTGTAGAAATCTTAAATGTAATTTCAATTTAAAAAAGGTAAAATAAGGCTCTAGTCGGCAAGTTTGTCAGTTTCTGTCTCTGCAAACAAAAATATATTTTATGATTCCATCAAGGTGCTGTGTAGTTGACCTGCAGCTCAGATGTTCTGTTGTTCTACAGCTGCATTAAAAAGGGTATTTCTTCTTTGTGAGGTATAACCTAATGGATTCTGTAGCTGAACAGCTTGAAACCATGTCTCTGATAAAAAGTACGCCTTTAATAGTTGTGTTTCAAGCTGAGTTATTTTCATTTACTTTGAGTCTTGCATTTATTGTGGAAACAGGGTTTGCCATGTATTTTTTGAAGTAATAGTGTTCATCTCCTCAGCATCAGGGTGTTCCATAGTGCAACTGTGATGATAGATACAGTTTCTGGTTCAAAGACAAAGACTGAAATGGTGTCTCTTTATCACTTCTGTGAAATAGCTCAATTGTCAAAATACAACTTAACAAACTGAAAACTTTAAAAGAATTACTTTTAACTACTGTGCAGTAAGTGGGGCAGTGACAATTCAAATTTTAAAATGCGTAATTATTGTTAAATGAAACTTCTCTTAAGTTTTCAGTCTGAAAGATCTGAGGTGCTATGTGTCATAAAGAATATGGTGGTCTTCAACTTATTTTTTCCTTAATCTCTCTGGGCCTGAAATAATGAAATATGTTCTGCAATTTTTCTTGTTCAGGGTACTGATCTAAATTTAAGTTGAGAATTGCCAATTTTTTAAAAGTGCTGACATGCTTGCTTTTATTCTGCTCTAGTTTTTCACAAAAAGACTCATAGTTCCTTCTCCTTGGATTGAACATGAAGGCAAACAAGTTTCTCAGTTTAATTCAACTAAATGTAAGTTGCTTTTGTGTGTCCATCCAAAATAGTGTAGCTTTTGGAGAAATTATGAAGCATAATTTATTTCAATCTTAATTTAAATTTTAAGAACTGGTGATAAAATATGGCACAACTGATAGATTTTCAACTGTTCTCTCCAAGTGCCTTCTTTGTTTAAGAATTATTTGTTAATCAAGAGTCTTTTTTAATAATTTTTCTTTTTATTATTTTTGGGTTTTGTTCTTAAACCTTTCTACTTTAATAAATCTCTTTGCAACCAATTTAATTTGCCCGCAGAATTGCACGGTTGATACTGGTGATAGCCAAGTCTTCTACTTTGCTTTTTATTTCTGATATTTGCATGTCCTCCTTATTCTGACTGCTTTCCTCACCATATAAGCATATGGGAAATGGAGTTCCATACTTTTTTTACCCTTGCTGCATAAATTCCTATTGTCATCTTAGTGTCCTGCTAGCTCATGGTCACTGCTCATGGGTTTCCTAACTTCATTATGTTTATGCCCATGTTAGATTTTATTCTTAATGCCATTGTTGCTGAAGTTTATATATAACCATCAGAATACATAGTAAATGGACTAGAAGCTGGACAAATGTCAGCTGCAAAGTATTGTTTGGTAGGAAATTCTTAAATAAGTGGTGATTTTTCAAGATTTGGAGAAGGCTAAACTTAAAAGTTTTTTATTGTGGAGATGCAGCTTGTGGATAGTGTATTTTTAGTTGTCAGTTGTAAGGTCATCATTTTTTGAGCAGAGAACATGAGCCATAATCTGAGATCTGGAAAAGTGAATGGTAAAGGAAAATGGTTTAATGTGTTCTTTAGCTGTATAAAAATCCCAAAATATTTCTTCACCTCAAGTCCAGACTGAGTGATTTTATGGAAATGTGTTCTACTTGAACACAGCCTGTTTAGCTAAGTATAAACTAGTTTGTTTTAAATCTCTCTAATATAGAGGAGGGTGCAGGAGACAAAGGTCTGAGCAGTGCTGATGGTATTTCACTATGCTTTGTTTGAATAGAAGGGTGCTGAAATTCTCTTCATCAGCTATAATGGTAACCTTTTTTCATTACTCCTTCCTAATCTCTTCCAAACTTCAATGCAAAAGTTTAGTTGTATTAAATATTCTAACTCTATATATGCAATGCATGCCTAAATTTAAGTTCTTCTATGTTTTACAGCTATCGACCTAAATAACATTTCTCCGATTGGAAGACAGCTAAGCTTGCAGCCTGGGAAGAGCAATGGTGAGTACAAGGCAATGTCTGAAATTACAGGCTTTCTGAAGCAAAATAACCCATTTTAAATGGCTATTTAATTTAAAAGGGCAATTATTTGTTGGTTAATATTCCTTTAGAAATAGTTTTTCCTGACCTAAATGGTACTACTAATTTTAATATCCATTTCTCATAGTATTTAATTCTGTTATACTCTCTGGTATTTTTTATTAAGTAAAAAAAATGAAGTCCTCTGTAAGACTGTGGAGTGCATTTATTCCAACTCGATATATGCACTTTTTCTGAATTAAGAAGTGAATGTAAACCTCAAGTTTATGGGTAAATTACAGTTTCAAGAAACCTTTAATGTGTTGGATTGTTAAGGGTTAGAGAATCTTGATTATTTTCTATGCCAAATAAATAGAAATCTTAATACATATTTTAAACTGTATCATTTTAGATAAATAGGTAGTGTTTTTCTCCAGGGTATTTTGATAACTTTTTTCCCATTTCCTTTTGAATCCTTCCTTTCTTCAGAGACCTCTTTCCTCAGTTAACATAAAAGCCCCTAGAGAGGCATTCTTACAACTCTTGGGTTTTTTATCGCCAGGCCTAATGTGCTGCATATAGTGTTGTCAACTCAAAATCACAGCTTTAATTAACACTTTTCCTTATTGCATCTGTAATTTAAATAGCTCAATTGCAGTGCGATTTGAATGTTTGTCTCTACAGTTTTAGTAAAAGGTCACTAAGCTAATTTTGTTGGGTTTATTCATTGCAGCTGCTTGTCAGACAGTACTGTCTTTGCCAGTGGATATTAATTTAGAGAAAATACTAGGTATGTCATGCAATATCTGTATATATGAATGTCTAAATGTTTGCTGGGTGTTTTTGTCTTATGAAATACTGAGAACCAAATGAATGAATGAGTTTTAAGTATGTGTCCTAAACAGACAGTTAGTGCATGTTGCACAGGACACGTGAGTTAAATGATATGGTTTAAGTGTGGACATAAAGATAGAAAAGGAGGGATATGGAGGACAACTGGAAATTGTTCAGCCTGAGGAGACTGAGGGGGACACCTCCTTGCAGTCTACAGCTTCCTCATGAAGGGAAGCGGAAGGGCAGGCACTGATCTCCTCTCTGAGGTTGAGTGACAGGACCTGGGGGAATGGCCTGAAGTTTTGTCAGGGGAGGTTTAAGTTGGATATTAGAAAAAGGTTCTTCACCCAGAGGATGGTTGGGTACTGGAACAGGCTCCTCAGAAATGGTCACAGCACCAAGCCCAATAGAGTTCAAGAAGTGTTTGGATGATACTTTCAGGCACATGGTGTGACTCCTGGGGATGGTCCTGTGCAGGGCCAGGAGTTGAACTCGATGATCCTTGTGGGTCCCTTCCAACTCAGATATTCGGTGATTCTATAAAATTGATTAACAGTTAACAAATGCATAAAAGGTAGTAAGCAGAAGATAACTGCCTCCCCCAAACAGAGCAGTTACTTAACTTAGCAGAGCTGTTTGACTTACAGATGACTGGCCTTGAGGCTCATAGCCCAACCTTGCCTTGAGTAAAGCTGGGCTATAACCCTGCCTTTAATTGAACTGAAGCCAAGGTGGTGACTAGAGGCTGTGTGTTGGCAAACAAGCCATGACTGCTGAGTGAGGAGGCAGCAGTCCAAATTAACTGTCTGATTATAAATGCTACATCAAGCAATTGCTGCCACCTTCTCAAGCTTCTCAGGCTGGAAAGGCCTGCTTTTACTGCTCATGTGGGAACAGGGTACAGCCAGCTCGGAGGGTTTCAGCTGTGTGCATCTATCCCAGTATTGAAATTAATCTAAATTAAAACAGAAAAACAGTACCATATCTATTGCCTTTGTTTTTTGTCTTAACAAATGCTTCCATCAACACATAATTTGTGAGTTCATTAAAAATTTCTTCTACAAGGAGTACCCAGTTGCCTCTGGATCTGTCACAAAGACCATTTAAACACCTGGGAGACCTGAAAAAGAGTTTAGTTTTGCTTGGGTAGTAAAATAATCACTTTTGCAACTCAGATGTGAAGAATTGGGAAAAGACCAGTAAGTAGATGCTAGCCTATATATATACATTTATATTTTTTTAAATTCAGACCTTAGTATTAAGCAATGATAGGCAGAAGTGGAACCTTTGTGAACTGAGTGGACTCTTTGTAGTGGTGCCTAATTAGATTAATTACTTGCTGCATTGGTAAATTGGACTTAATGTTTTAATTTAGTTATATATCTCTCTAGTGGAAGATTTTTTTTTCTGCACTCTTATTGGAAAAAACTTTTTCCCGCAATTTCTAGGTGAATATTTTAGAACTGAAGAATTGGCAGACCAGTCTCAGGAAAATCTGAGCTCTTCATCACTCAGAAGAAAGCTGTTTTTAGAAGAAAATGGAAATGTATCTGCATGTTTGTCCCCTTCTTTGCATAGTCCATGCGGTAGTCAGCCACTTGGAGTGCTTTGTTCAATAGAATTATCTCCAGTCCGGTGCAGAAGCCCTCTGGACACATCTAGTTCAGTAAGTGGCTTGTTTTGTGGGCTGCATGGGATGTACTTTAAGAGGGAGTAGGTGCTAGACTTGAGGATGGTGATTTCGGGGTTTTTTTCCAAATCTGGAAAAAACAATGTGAACTAAAAGCATTGAAAGAATATGTTACTGACTTTTTATTTTATCATATTATTTTGTTGTGCTCCTATTCTCTTGTATAGAACGAGTTATGTTCGAATGTTATGTTATGAAATGGAAGTAGAAATTAAAACATGGAAAACACTTCCTGAAAGCATGTTGAAACGCTATCTTTTTCAAAAAATAGGTATACAGAAAAAGTCCTGTTTAAATTCACGAATTGCTCTCTAAAATACCAGTTGATATGAACTTGTGATATAATTATTTCCCCTACAGCTCATAAACTCATTTATAATGGAAGACATTACTTGTGGATCTTTGAATGCAGTGCTAAATGTGCTTTTTTTTTTTTTTTTCCCATTGACCAGAGTTTTCAGATGAATAGACATTTATTAGAACACAGAACATAATGTCTGTTCTCTAAATTAAACAAAGTAAAGCTTTTTCCCAGGTGGACATAGCACAGCAGAACTGGTTTAGGTGATATGGTTTCATCTGTTTGGTGGCTGAAGCGCATGGAAAAAAAAAACTACCCTAGGAGTTAAAAAAAAGGTTACTGTGTTAACCTAGTAAAGAATTCCAGTAACATAATAGTGGTCACATTCTTGCAGTATAATTCTCTTTTCTTAAGGAGAAATACTTTCATGTTTTGCCTGCTGCTGAAGTAAGTAATTCAGAAAATATGATTTACATTAAAATATAAATAGTGGCTGACTTCTATCAGCATTGTTATGAGTAAGAAATTTAGATCAGATACTTGACTTGATACATAGATAACATTAATTCTCTATTTAAGTTTCTCAGAGTTCTTAAATCTAATGGATATAATAGGCCTAGTTGGTATGATGTGACAGTTTGAGTCTATTGCGCATTTCTCCTATGTGGAGGCATAAAGTCCAGGTAAAGAGCTGCACTGAAATATTTAATCTAAATTGATGGTAGAGATTGTCACTGTTAAGGATTAGTCCTTCTCAGTGCTCCCATATTAAACTTTTAAATTAGAACACTTTATATATATATATATTAACCCAAGTTAACGTTATAAAAATATGCTGTGTGGTTTAGATTTTTTTTTTTTTTTCTTAAGGGTCAGTTTTCTTCAAGTCCTATTCAGGGAGGAACAAGAGCTTATAGTCTGGGAAGTATAACCAGTCCCACATTCTCAGAAGGGTCTCCTGCACCTAGTGGTTCTCCTACTTTTTCACCAATTGCTTTCCACATAAGAAAAACACCTCTCTCAGGTATGGTTTAATTGTATATGTGTTATTCTTTCTTGAGTCATATATTTTTATTACAACAATTTTTTATTATAAAAACTGCTGAGTTCTTAGGGGAACCTATTTGTGTTTGGAGCCAACAGTTTCCTCCTATGTGACACATTTACTGTTTAGCAGTGAAATGTATGAGACAATGTAATGTATATGCTTGCAAAAAATCAAGTAGGGAAAATATTTTAGAAGAAGGCATTGAGACCTTATAGGAATAAAAAAAGTTAGGAGGGTTAATCTAGTGTTGGAGGGAGTTTAAAGCCACATGTCTGAACTAAGTCAGGCCACAATTCTGATTTGGCCCAACCTGAAGCATTTTAATGTCAATGGACAAAGAATGTTGAGTTTGCAAGTCATGCAATCATGAAGATGATTTGAAATGAAACTGATGGGTGAAGAAGTCACAAACATTTTGTGTCCTTGTTGCTCTAGAAAATGTCAGTATTTTATGCCGTGTCCATAACCTGGAAAGGCTTTAACACCATGTTTATGTATGATTTTGCTGTGATGAGCTTTCTGGTATTTAACACCATTATATGTGCAGATTGCATATGTGTTTTCTCACTTGTTTGATCTTGTTACACTTTATTACTGCCAAAAATCAAATACCTATAGTATATATGTTTTGACATTTGTTTGGGAAAATCCCACAGAACCAGCCTTCCTTTGAAAACTCTGTAGTATTGACATTTGAAAATACAAGGTATCCAATGCAACAAACCATGTCACAGAAAACAAATTTGGTGGTAAAAATGGATAAGAAACTTGCCTTTACCATGACAATTAAAATGTTCTGCTGGTTTGTTTGTTATTTGGGGTTGGTTGTTTGATTTGTTTGGGAGACGGGGGTCAGTGAAATACTGTGTAGTTGGCTATAATTGTTCAGTGGCCTGCAGGCATTTGAGGATGATGAATTTTTTCTATCAGATATCATGTGGAATTAAACTGTCCGTTTGTTTTGTTGTTTTGGTTTTTTTTTTACAGACCAAAGAAAATTTACATTTCGTTCTCCAGATATTCCTTCTTCCTCAAATAGAATGACACCGCCAAGTACAAGAAGTCCTTACATAGATGGTTGTTCTCCAATTAAAAACTGCTCTCCTATGAGGCTTGGAGCTTGCAGAGGAACTGCCCAGTATCAGACTTCTCTCATTAGGATACCAATTGCAGTTGAGAATCACGATGAGGATGAGGAAGACAAGGAAAATGCCTCTCCAGCAGAAGCTCGGTTCCCAGAAATGGATAATGGAATAAACTTATGTCAGGAAGACAGTGATACTTTTGCACATGGTACACGTCTTGTGGTAGCAACTGTGTCTATTGCACCAGATCACTCAGAAGCTTGTCATCAAAGGCTGTCATCATTTCAGGATATAGAAGGCTTAAAAGAAAATAATACTGTAGACATGGCTGATGCAGCTGAAGTGTCAGAGGAAAACACTTGGATAAAAGAAACAATTGGCAATAGCAATACAGCAATGACCAGCTTTATGACAGGCATTACTTTCAGTATTGAAAGCTCTCGGATGTGCATGTCGCCTCTTGCCGAAAGCAGCGCAATTCCTTGTGACAACAGTAGTATTCAGGTAAAAAGAAATTTTTTTTGCTTCTCTATAAAACCGAGCTGGACATAATAACTTTGAATACATACACTATTCTGGAAGTAATTGTTATTTTCTTGTATTGGATGTGGCATGCTGGTGGTATCATGACTTTTATCGCTTCCCTCCCATCCCCTCTTTGCTCCCAGTGGAGTGAGCATAGCAATTGCAAATTATGTTTGTGTTGCTCTGTACAGCAATACATTTAACTTAATCCAAGCTAATTCTGACAAATCTGCTTACGATTTGCTTTTGTTGTTAACTGATTGTAGTTGGTTTGTTGGATTAAGTTCTGTTAATCAAATGATAATCATATCAGGTATCTGAGGGATTAGAATTACAGTACATTTTTCAAGCCCTGCTTCTTGATTTCAGGTGGACAGTGGTTACAATACACAGACTTGTGGAAACAGCATTATGGATACTGTGGGGGCTGAAAACAGCTGCAGAGAAAATGATGTGAATACTCTTGTTTTTCAGAATAAATCTCAGCTGCTTAGAACAAAGGTAGGAGTTAAATTGTGATAGAAAAGTGAGAGGCTTCCCATCCAAAGCATCCATTCCCCATTTTGTTTGGTTCCAGGGAGCCTGAGGGGGAGAGACAGTGAGGTGATAATAAAAGATGTTAATGTAGCATCATTTCAAGTATGTTGAAAATGGGGAATAAATGCAGGACAAATTATCTCAAGTTGGCAATAAAATTAATGTGGTTTATGACAAAGGCAGGTTGTTTCAAAGGAAACCAAGGTATATGTGCTAATGGTAGTTGTGAGGCTGCTCATGGCTTCTGATTTATTGGAGTCTGTCTCTTATTTTTGTTTCTGTTTTTCTTGCTGCTTTTTTTTATTGCTACATTTTTGAACATCTGCCTGTGGAGAAGGACATTTTTGGGGGAAAATTGTCAACTGTTGATTTTCATAAACTCATTAAGTTTCTTAGACCATACCTAGCATGCTGACTTGGTGGGGAACTTTCTGCTTGGGTACAGTCTTTTGATTACAAGTGCTTTGATGACCTATCTGGAAAAAAAAATTACAAAAGACAATACATATCTAGCAAGACTCCTAAACCCTTAATCTTGTGACTGATAGGAAGGAGTTCTACTTCTTGCAGAGAATTGGAAACAAGGCTATTTTCCTTGAAGAGAGCAAAGATCATCTCCTCTCACTTAATAATTATGGTTTTATGGCCTTACAAACTTAGTAGTTTATGGTCTGCGACTTGGTGTTGTTTACAGTCCTTGAAGAGGAGACAATACTGACTAATAGTTTCAAATTATAAAAAATCCTCAAGTAGGCCCATTCAGCCCTGACTTCATTTCTGTATGACATGCTAAATAGCCACTTCTCTGCCAAGGTGAAGTACAGACTGATGGTGTCTTACAGACCACTGACATCAAATTCTGAACTCTGCTCATTTAAGACTAGGATAAATGTGCCCTTACAAAATTAAAAGGAGCTGGCTATTTTATCTTTAACATCTAGAAATATCCATCTACTCTGATGGATATTGCCCCAGTCTTGCCCCACTCACCCTGCTGGAAATGGATTAGATGTGTGAATGTAGTTCCCAGAATCAATCGTATAGTATCAAACCTGACCTAGAGGGACTCACCATTGTTATGCAGCTGTCTTTTCCCACTGTTAGTCTTTCAATTGCTAGATCCCGACTAAGTCCAGTTTTGCATTTTAGATTAGTATTTAAGTATGAAGGCATTAAGTATTTCATTCAACTCTCACAAGAGAGAGAGAACCTCTAGAGAATGGAAATAAAAAAGCACACACTGACTGGCTGAAAGAATCGAGTCTGGCTCAGTCTCAAAGATCTATGCAGAGAAAACATTCTTTCATTTCTTTCTCATTTCAGAAGGGGAGAGGTGGTACTTAAGGTACTTACTGTACTTGAAATATGCAGATAGTAGGTTTAGACGTTACTTCTTTTGGAGAATTTCTGTGAAAATAGTTTTAAAATTAACTTTTCCTTACTCATCTAGGAGTGTTCTGTTTTAAGCCATAAGGACAATCAGTTGCTGAGAGCGAAATCTCCGGAGTCGCAATCCTGTTTCCAAAAAGCAAAAACACATAGTACAATATTTGGAAAAAATGCAACTTGCAACATTTCTGCTTGGAAACATAAAAATGAAAGTCAAGTTCAGGGATTTCACAAAACTGGTATGTAGTTTTCTGATGGAGAATTTGTGTTGTCTAATAAATTTTTATACATATGATCTCAGTTACCTGGTTTATACCTACTATTTTGCTTTGTTAATGCAAATGTAATAAATTGTCTGGTATGTATTAAGGGAGTTTTTAAATAATGTGGGATTTTTCAGGTCTTCTGGACAAATTTATTGGTATTAAGTGATTGTTTTTGAAAATTAAAGTGTCTAGAGAAACAATGCTTTCCTTCTGTGATTAGGGTAGATTCCATGAGGAATCTTGTCTTGAAAGTTTGGACATAGCTTCAGCTTCCAGATGGATGTTTTGGATAGATGAGCAAACCTAGGATAATTTGCATAGGAAACAACTGCAAAACCAGCTACATTTTAAGATTTGTCCCTCCTAAAGGCATGAGGGACATTTTTTTTTGTGGTGGAGAGAAAAAGGAAATCAAGAGAGAGTCACTGGATGGGAAGGAACTGCTGGGGGTGTGATGAGAGCAACCCCAAAGTTTAGTTCTTTTAGTAATACAAAATAAGTTTTATCTCAAAAGCAGCTATTTAGCAGTTCTCTGAACAGCTTTTAGCTTGGCTTGACAGAAAGCTGCCTATCTGTCCGTTAGTTTTACCATGTACTTGAGTAAAATGTATTACTGGTTATTTAAAATTAAATTGTAGTGTTGCTGCTTTAGTAATTGTATTAGTACTAACCTTGGAGTTGATCACCTGACTCCACCAGCGTTTCCTAAAAACACTTGTGTCCAAATTTATGCTCCAGTACACTTTGGAAGGAACCTAAGAAGGTGCTCTAAGATTAATTGGTCTCAGTACATCACTAAGAGAATGATGCAGCCTTTCTTCTATTAAAGTAAACCATTACACTTCTCTCTTATGTTTAATTCTCAGTATTATTATGTTGCTTACAGAAATGACCAAAATACTTATATAAACCCTTAAAAATGTAATTAACTTCTGCATGCCACTTATTTCAGAAATTATTAATATAAACAAACCCTTGATGCTTTCAGGAAAATCACTGATGATTAAAGTAATGAATTGAGGAGGGTCTAGAAGCCCAGAACTCCCTTTGTCTAATCAAATCAGATTTGGTTAAATTTGATTGGGTTTGTTTGAAAGAACCTTCTGGAATTTATAAATGTGAATAGGGGAAAAAAATCCATATGGTAATCTTCTAGTCCTAGTGACTAAGAGGGGAAGCAGAGATAAGGGAAATACTGAGATTTCTGAGCTGTGTTTATGTAGAGCTCTGAAGTAAACTTTGTTGGGTTAATGAAAATGATAAGTCCATTCTAATATGTATTCCAAGTGAAGTAGTCTTTCTCTCTTTCATAGCAAGGATGTTCAGTCCCAGGGTGCTGGATGGCTGCTTTCTGTTCTGTTCCACAACTCACAGAAAAGCTTGTACCAAAGTGATGGGTGGTGGCTGATGAGTAGCTATTGGCACACTAAGCCTGAAACCATTGGTCAGACCTAAATTTAAAGGCAAAATACAGCATTTTTTAAAACTCTTAATGTTAGCAGAATTGCCTTACATTAAAATCAATGTGTTAGACCTGAGACTTCTGTGTGTTGTTTGAACAGAACAGGTCTTGAAATATTTTCATTAATTATTCATCAGTGAAGGCTTTCTGAAAAATATACTTAAGGAAAAGGGAAGCTCCTATGCACAGCACTTGGTTTTACTTCTCACATTGCAAAAATAAATATTTAAAAATTTTGTTTTCTAACCAGCAACCATGATGTGCATTATATTTACTTCTGTAGCACTTTAATCACTATTTCTGTAATGCATATTGGATTGACAGTAATTGAATCTAGAATCCCATCCATCTAGCATCTTCTGTATTTCATGATCTTCAAACAGTGCCCTACTAAAAGCTGGAAATACACTGACTTAGTAACTTTTAGGGGATGAATTTTTTTAAAAGTAGGAAATGAACTCAGACTTCTGGAATATGAATCTTATACAATAGGGCTTTCAAAATGTTCCTAGCTTTAGCTTGTAAAGCTAAAAAAACTCAAAAGCAGGACACAACTTCTTTAAGATTTCTAAGTTATGTATGACCTTATGCCTTTTCTGTTTCTCATGATGGTTTTCTTTAATGATAATCAATTGAAAGGAGGAATTTCAGATTTCTGGACTTGTACACAGGATTTATTTTTGCAACTGTGATTACTAAAAATAGCAATGTTAATTTATGAATTTAAGAAGCAGGGTGGTCCAAATTGTCTCTGTTCTGCATTATATGTGTAATTAGGAATGGGTTATACTTTTTAATTAATTTTTTTGACTTTTTAATAATATGTTCAATGATTGAAGGCTTTTGAAGTATTCACAAGTAAAAACATCTAACATCAAATACTTAATTTCACCCTGTATTAGTATGTTCTTAAAGGTTAGGGAAAAGTAACACCAGAAATGTGTGAATGGGAGAAGTAATTAAGGATCCCCCCAGGTAAATTGCCTGTATTTTCTGTCCTGTTTTGTAGTCTTCAGTTAGATGGGAAATATTTATTTTATGAAAACATGGATATTTTTTTATTGTGTTTTATACAACAGATTTGAAGAAGAAACCTACTGTACAAATTACCATGGAAATAACTTGATCATTCTGTTTCTGTAGTTGTTCTTTATGCATTGGTTGGCATACATTGCACAAAATCGTCATTGTTTACATTAAAATAATTTCGTTTTAATGAGAGTCCTTTAACATGTCTAATTGTAAATTGAGTAGAGGAACAGAATAAAGACATCTTTTTCATACCTATGTTGCTCAATTGCTTCTTTTAGTTCAGAGGTGCTAAAGAGAATGCACTGAAGAGACTGACTTGTGTCAAGCTCTCAAACGGCTGTTAAAAAGAAACCCTACAATCATTCCTTCACTTTGCAGAAACATTTATTTTCACCCATAAGACAAAGGTGTAGATAATAATTGGTTTTAAAAATACTGTTCTGCATAAATAGTCGTAAAAAAGTAGGTTAAAATTTTTTTTACAGATTATTGAAGTATGTATTTAAAAAGTAAACAAAACTAGTTTCTAGCATTTTGCCCATAGGGAAAAATATGTAAATGCAAATAACTGTGTTGTTGGCTTTTTGTTAAACTTTTATATTCTTCTATTTTTGTAGCTTCTTTTTCTTTTTCTCTGGTTCATTCTCACTGCTTGCCTCTGTAGATGGATTTGCAGGCACATCCTTTCCTAGTATCTACAGAAAAAAAAAATAAAGTAAAAAAATGGTTTACTCCATTTTTTTCTATCCCGATAAAACTTGAGTTTACTTGTACAGACTTTTTTACATGCGCTGCATCAACATCAGAACCTTGTGATTTAGAAAACCATCTGTTACAAGACAGGGTGGAAATCAGAACTGGGAAGAGATCAAATTTACAGACCAAGACTATAGACTAGACCCAGAGATGTGTTTCTGTGAGACAGTATTTAAGTTGCTGAAACCTTTGGATGGACACAAAGGGAATGATCACTGCATGTGCATCTTACTCCTATACTCCTTTCTTACCAGAAAGGAGGATTAGTAACTGATGTTTAGGATGGAGTATTTTGGATTAACCAGTACAGCCAATCCTGTATCCAGGGATAACTTCAAATTATAGCATTTATTTTGTTGTAGAGTAAGGATCCTCCCAGAAATTAGTGCAAGTAAAATGGAAGAACAGGGGAAAAAACCCAAACTATCAGCTTGTATTAGTCTTACTTTGTGTCTGTTCTCAAAGTGTGTCCCTTGGACTAGAGTCAATGGCTGCAGGAATGTTGCTGAGTCATGCCCCTAGCAGTAGCTCTGTTGGTGAGCACAAACGGGGCAGCTCAGAAAGTGAATGCACAACAGAATACAAGGGTCCCTTCTATTACAAACTTCATTATCTACTCCCAGTTTTTAAAATCACAAGGATTGGCTTCAACTCAGTCCAGTCTGGAGAGGATGAACAGATGGGACCAAGAAGGACGTGGGGGATGAGAGGCTGGACATGAGCTAGCTCTGTGTGCTTGCAATCCGGAAAGGCAGTTGTATCCTGGGCTGCATCGACAGCAGAGTGGCCACTACAACAAGGGAGGTGATTTTGCCTCTCTACTCATCTCTGGTGAGACCCCAGCTGGAGCACAGCATCAAGCTCTGTGGTCCCCAGCACAGGAAGGACATGTTGAAATGAATACATAGGAGGGCCACCAAGACGATTAGAGGGATGGAGCACCTCTCTCCTATAAGAAAAGGCTGAGAGAACGGGAATTGTCCAGCTTGGAGAAGAGAAGGCTTGAGGTAGACCTTTGACCAGCCTTCCAGCACCTGAAGGGAGCCTACAAGAGGAACTTTTCACAAGGGCCTGTAGTGACAGGAAAAGCGGGAAGGGCTTTAAGTGGGCAGGTTTAGATTAGCTACTAGGAAAAAATTCTTTACTGTGAGAGTAGTGAGACAGTGGAACAGGTTTCCCAGAGAAACTGTAAATGCCCCATCCCTGGAGGTGTTCAAGGCCAGGTTGGTTGGGGCCTTTGAGCAACCTAGGCCAGAGGAAGGTGTCCCTGGCCATGGCAAGGGGGTTGAAACTATATGATCTTTAAGGTCCCTTCCAACCCAAACCATTCTTTGGTTCAAGATAATAAAATAAAAGAGCCCAAAGATCAGAATATTTATATGCATTTGAAAACATGATTTCTCAAGGAAAAAAGAAATAATAATAATGCTTGACTGTATAAACAACAAGGAGCTCTTACATATTTTGGGTTGTCTTTTTCCTCTATGATTAGGACTACTCAATTGCAACCATCTGTTTACAAAAAGTGTCGCATGTAACTTTAAGTGCACAATCTTGTAGTGTCTTGCAAAATACTTAAGAGGCCTAAGGTGTGAGACCAAGTGAAAAGCCCAGTGTCCCAGATGCACTAATACTGGAATTGAAAAGTCTTAAACCAGAGACAGTTAGTGGGACATTACAGTTCTTACAACATTATCAAGAGAAAATTTTTATATTGTGGGAGTTGTAGGACAAAACTGCCATGATAACTAACAATTATACAGTTATCTTCGAGCCACCCAACGCAGTTACACTGCAATTCACTGGAGTAAAAAGATCATATTGAGTTTTGGCAGATTTTCAAAGAGAGATTTGATTACAGAACAGTGAAATTCAAGATATTACTTCAGCAAATCATCACCTTTCCCATCAACAGAAATATCCCAATGGGCCCAGAACAGAAATTTAATTTAAACACCTCTATTTTCAACAGTCAGTGAAAGCAGACCTGTGTTCTACTGAGAGTGGATATGAAGCAATCATCACAAGCTCCTGCTAAATTGTTTTTTTTCTTCTGGTTAAATTTCAATTTTACTGCATGACAATTTTGTAACATTATTGAAAGGTAATATGGTTCTGTGAACTTTGTGCCTTACCTTCGGTTCTACCAAGACCATCCGCATTTTCTGATGTTGGATGTTGGAATCATCTAATGTAATGTTCACTTTAACTTTATCAAATACATGTAATGTTGTGCCTTCCACAGTAAGTGATGGTACCTGAAAGTTCATATTTAGTATGAATATTTAAAATGTCTTATATTTTTATAAAAATAAATATTTTTGTAGGAAAATTCAGTGTTTAAACATAAATAAAAATGGTCACAAATTACTGCCATAATATCTGGTATACATAATTAGATATTGACAGTATCACAGAAACCACAGTCAGAATCTGTTTATTTAGACTTACAAATACAATAGTAGCACTGCTACTATAGATTAATAAACTTGCATTTAGAAAAACTTCTTGTACCCTTCCAAATCCAACCACAATAGACTTTTAGTCATTCTGCTCAATTACCAAATAAAAAAATAAAGGTATTTAAGAGCGAACCATAGGAATAATAAGAACATACCTCATTGTTGTAATCCAGTTTTGGTGTTGGTTTGTCTTTTTCTTCAAAGAAGACTGTTCCTTCTAACCCATACTTAGGAATCAGAACCACAATTGCATTTTTTCTTACAAATAATATATATGCATCTTCATTTACTACTCCCTTGGTTTTGAAGAATAACTGTAACAAAAGCAAAATACAGAAATAAGAAAAAAACCTAGAACATTCTCTTCTGAATTACAAATATACTGCCTTAGAAAAATGTAACATTCAAATACAAATCTATACTTCATGAGAATTACTCAGCGTATAAAGCACAAAACTAAAGACTTCTCAAGATGCCATTATTCTGAATTTTTCAGAACAAGCAATGTAGCCTTTATGCTTTTCCTCAAGGAAGCATCCCTCGGCCTTGATCATTTCTTCAGCCTTGCTTGGTTTTGCACTGTAAAGTACCAGTGTTCCCCCGCTTGCTTTAAAATCAACATGAATGTCCATGGTGAACCCCAGAACATCTCAGGACTACTTACCTGTGTGTGGAATGCAACAGACGCTCTTTGTGCATATTGTGCCATTTTATGTCGGTAATTGAGATTTTTACACATATCTGCTAGTTTATGTTTATCTGTCAGTTCTGGGTAAGTACTGTCTGCTCCTATGGCCACTGCCAAAAGCCGATGCACTATAATATCAGCATACCTGCAAAGATGAGGTTAAATGATCCGTGACATAGCAAAACATACTTTTTGAAAATTAAAAAAAAAAAACCAAAGTTTCTAAATACGTATTTGTTTTTGTGAATCTTACAGATCTAAAAGTTTCTGTAATAATGACAGTCTGACGGCAACGCCCGTATCAATTCAAGATCACTCTCTCTGCTGACCAAAGATGCACTGCAGAGCCAGAATGAACTCTGTTTTCTAAGATATATTCTTTACTATATTGCATCAATAGAGCCTGTATTGTTGAATACTTACAAAGAAGAAACAAAGTTTTATTTTTGGACTAAAGAATGTTTCACCATGGCATCTTAAGCCAATCCCTCTTGCCTTTCCCATGAACTAGTCAAACTTAGTGTAGAAGAGTATTACAATGCCATTGATCTGCTAAACGTAATCCCATTTGAACTTCTTGATACAGAACTTTTATTAGAACCTCAGCAAGGAACTTTTAACACAGCTAGTAGGAATTAAAATTACTATTTGCACCCTAGAAGTTCCCCAAATTATCCACATAAACGTGTAGGAATTTCAATTCGCATGTAAAGAGATTTCACTTGAAATGATTCTAAGGATCAAAAGATGGTAACAGTTATTTTCCCCAAAACTCGGATAATTCTTGGTTAGAATTAAAAAACCAACCTACTTTTCCAAGAAGTGTGATTTCATCACAAGGCAACAGCTACAATAGCAAGTTTCCAATTAGCAGTGCTTTCCTATGTAAAGTACAGTCTCCTCAAAATTTAAACATAGCTTCCATCTAAAAAATGACTAGGCAAATTCTGCCTCAGTCTCTGACCCCAAAGTGCATTTCTGTTACAGAGGTCTGCATTAGGGATATATTTCTATTATTTTTATGAGTCTTCTAAAAAAATGTACTAAATCTTAGGAGTTGTGGACAGTTAACTTGGGAGCTTACATGAAGATGGATCACGATCTAAGCCACTGCTGTTTCAACGGAAATCTAACATTGAACAGAAACAGTACTTTGTTTCAAACAGAACACCACAGTTTAAAATAGAATTTCTTCACAAATAAATCACTTCTTTTTGTTCTCTGAAACTTCTGTAAAATAAAAGTACCTTCTAATAGGTGAGGTAAAATGGGTATAAA